CAAAGTTATGACACTGAAGATTAGAGCTGGGCGATATGGCCAAAAATGTTATCACGATAAACAAAATTCATATTGTTTGATATCAATACATATCGCGATAAATGTCAAAACATTATTTATTCCATGTTTGAAGGCTGATTTTTGCTCCTGGGTGGTTAATCGCCGTTTTAAACTATCCTTTATGGTCAGAACACGACAAACACTCACCAAACAGTGGAACATTTCACAGATCTGTCATGGGAGAGTGGGAGAAAGTGTCTGGAGAGCTGTTTTTACCAGCTGGAAAAGCACGGCTATTTTATAATAATCATAACTTAAGAAAGAAAACAGATTATTTTTAGCTGGTGCCGAGCGCTCGGCTACCCCGCTACAAATGACATCACAGTATTCAGACACCAGCTAGACGACTGGATTTCTCTATACTATCGTAGTAGTTTATGTGGTGAACCGCAAAATATCAACACCAGACAAACAGAGTCCTCCTTTTAGGTACGTTTAAACTGAAAGCGGTGCTTTTGTGTCGTGTTTGATCCACAGTATCATCAGTTCTCCGTGTTGTGTGAGTGACGGAGCTGCTTCAAGCTAGCCAGCTGCTAAAAACAGCTAGCCTGGAAAGATAACCTAGCGCTCTCCCGCTCTCCAATGCCTCACAGCTTCCTCAGTTTACTTTCGTTTAAATCAGAGCTGTAATTTACATGAACCAACTTCTTTCTTTCACTTTCGTTGCTTGGGAATGCACTAATACTTAAATATGACCGTCCGAGCTCTGTAACAGCGCTGTAGTTGTGAGGATTGTGATTTATCGCTGCTAAAGTTGTTAGGATGTTAGTAAAGAGGTGAGTTCGCTGTAGGACAGTATAGTTACACCACTGACCTCGTCACTCACACTCAGTCACAGGAGAGATCGCCGGCCGCTCCACTCAAACAGGGAATGTATAACTCGGCGTTTCAGCCGTTGCTAAAGACTCATCTTACTCGTGGCCCCCTCCCTCTCTAATCATGTAGAAAAACTCGGAAGTGCGCCCTACTCCTGGCGACAGCAGAGTAGTGTCGCTTTCCTTGCAATAGAAAACGCCACCAAGGCTTTCGCTGAACGTGGAAGTGTGAGAATGGTGTATTATATCGAACATTTATCGAACATGTCGTATCGCTCTATCGAGGAAAAGTTATATCGCGATAATTATCGTTATCGTTTTATCGCCCAGCCCTACTCAAGATCATCTCCGCTATCACTTGAAAACAAATCACATTTAATACGCAGAATACGGCAAAACAGCAGAAGCAGAAAGGAAAGTCCCTGCTAGCACTTCAACACCATCTGTAGACCAACATGATGAGAAAATAAGCAAACAGCAGCGCCAAAGTGCAAATATAACAAAAATTTATAGACCTTTTTGAATTGGAGGGCCAACTGTTCTATGTCGTTGAGGACGTTTGATTTTATGGCACAATCTGTAGCCTACATACTGAAATCATTTTAATAAGGTTATTTTACGTAACTTGTTTTTGTTTATTGTCAGCCGCAACAAGTTTTGTTTTAAAAAGTGTATTTTCTGTAACCTTGTAGTTTTTTCTGTTTAATATCGCTGCTCTCGGAACCAAACCTCGTATCTCCATTTTTGTTGTTTTTCGGTTTTTGATATCATTTGAAAATACCTCTTGCCCTTTATATTGTGCGTAAAATTCATGAAGAATCAACCAAAAGAAACGGCTCAAATTTACTTGGAAAAAAGTCTGGTTCCATTGACTTACATTAAAAGTAAATGTTGTATTTCTCGTTTCATAAAGTGCCATAAAGTGCCAGTTTTTAGTGGGTGACAGATCTGGACTGCAGGCAGGTCAGTTTAGCCCCCTCACTCTTTTACTACTAAGCCATGCTGTTGTAACACGTGCAGAATGTGGTTTTACATTGTCTTGCTGAAATAATCAAGGCCTTCCCTGAAAAAGACGTCGTCTGAATGGCAGCATATGTTTATATCATTCAGCATTAATAGTGCCTTCACAGATGTGCCAGTCACCCATGCCATGTGCACTAATGCCCCCCCCATACCATCACGGATGCTGGCTTTTAAACTGTGTGCTGATAACAAGCCTGATAGTCTTTAGCCCGGAGGACACAGTGTCCATGATTTCCAAAAAGAATTTCAAATTTTGATTCGGCAGACCACAGAACACTTTTCCACTTCGTCTCAGTCGAATTATAAGCATTTACTTGGAAAAAAGTCTGGTTCCATTGAATTACATTAAAAGTAAAGTATGTTTTTCCTTCTCCTTTGAAGTTACCATTTTAGAGATATGAGGTTTTGTTCTGACAGCAGCGACATATTCAAAAGCATAAATAAAATGGCAAATTGGAAAAAAAAATATTCTGGTGCATCATCAGTATGTAGTAGGCTGTTGAACAGCGTCCATTAATGTGACAGACCAACTCGCTACACATTTTGCAGCTTCGCATTACCTTAAAAACAAGACTGAGATGTAATGCAGTGTGAAGGTACCACAAACCAAGTACATTTGGTCAGGCTGAAGCTGTCAGACAGGATGAAGGTGGAGAGTTTTGATGAAGAACTCCTTCTGAATGGCTGTGGTCTCCTGCTTTGGGGGCTGGGGGTCCACTGTTAGTTTAGGAAGTTGTTCAGAGACCTCTTTGTGTGCTAATCGCATTTTAATGACAACGAACTTATCCTTGTGTTCACAAGCGAAGCCCAGTATAAACACACACTGAGGGGCAGCGTCTCGAAGCTGACAGAGGGAACGTCTCATTGGACTCTTTTAACCTGGGTCACGCCGATGGGTCAATGCTTCGGCCACACCAAAGTTCGAGGATTAGAGACCAAGCTCAAAGAAAGAGTTTGTACCAATTCAAAACCACAAATCTGCACCAATTTAAACTTTCCCCTACACCAGGGGTGTCCAAAGTCTGGCCCCAGGGCCAAATGCGGCCCACGGACAGATTTTAATTGGCCCTGGCTTCTGATTTACAGTGTATTATATATGGCCCGCCAGCCAGTACGTTGCAGTTCTCCCTTTCACCTGATGGTGGCAGCTGACCAGACCTGCAGCTTCATTTAGTGAATGACATTTAGTCAAGACTACAGACATAAAGCTCTAACTAAACACTGAAAACTGCCCATTTTGGTGAGATGGAGAACTTCTTATCAGAGCAAATTCAGCAGTTCAGTAAATATTAACCCTTTAAGGTCAAACAAAAACGTGTCTACACTTTGTTTATTTGATATGTAAAGAACATTACGTCACAAAACAAAACATTTCTAGAAGTTTATATTTATAAAAAATTATATTTATTTTTTGTTTATCTTGTCTCACAAATTATATATATTTTCAACAAATAAAAATAACTTGAATAGGAATATGATTAATACATTAGACATGATGTATTGTTACTCTTAAACAATTTAATTATTTATTATAAGTGCTTATCGATCCAAACTGCTCTGAATGAACAATCCAACAATAACAGAAGCCTCACGCATCTTTTATACAGTGATAGGAAACACAGAAGCTCACAGAAAGCTCAGATTCTATGCGCTAATATTTAAAAAATATCTTGAATCATTTGTGAATAATATGTCGGCCCTCAGGTATTTTAATACAGTACAATCTGGCCCTCTTTGAAAAAAAAATTGGACATCCCTGCCCTACACGGACAATTCTCATTGGTCAAGTACTGTCGCAGGGTTACTTGTCAGTCATCACCGACGTGATTACATCGCTGTATTGTCCAGCCCTGATTCAAACATATGCCACTGGCTGGTAAATTCAAATGGTACCACTCATTCTAATCACTGATATCAAACGATCTTAGAATAAAACCAGACCAGATCCGGCCTGATGCTCAGACTGGTGGTCAGTTTGCATTCTAATCCTCTTTCTCAACAGTGGAGAAGCACTGAAGCCGGTCAGAATGCACCAGCCGGCCAGCCAGAAAGCCCTGCTCTCTGCTGCTGCACTCATGCAGAAAACATTTCCAAAATGCGACACATTCACCCCTCCCCACACCTCCACTCCTCCCGGCCGTCTGCATGCCCCTGGAGGTTGGCTCTGACGTCAGAGGCTGAGTGCGGGCCGGCCGCCAGCCCTGTGGGCTCTTGATGGATGTGGTGGGTTCAGCGGAGCGGGCCGCCGAACAGCGCGGGCAGCACATAGTGCAAGCCAGGCCTTCTCAAACACCGCTAATGACCCGTACGGACCCAGCAGGCCCTTTCGTCCATGCTTTCACTAGCGCTCTTTCTCCACAGCACCCGCCCCCCCTCCATCCCATCCCCCCTTGCGGTTTCTCTTTGGCTCTGGTTACTCACACACACACACACAAACATACAGATTTTACTCGGAGAGGAAATGGTGTGCGTTTGCGCGCTCTGTCAAAGTTTCCCACGTAAGTGAAACGGCCTACATGTGGCTATATTCTTAATTATGAAACCGAAAGCAGTCGAGTATGATTCATCTCATTTATCCACAGTTTCGAGGAAGTTCTGTCCCTTTTGGCAGGCGGGGGGATGTGAGGTATATTTCAAATTCAAGTTTATCATTTTATTTTAATGAATCACGTAAGTGTACAGACATGTTCCAAGTCCAACGGATGTGGTGATGTCACTGTTTCTCCCTCTGCCAGCACCATTTCCCACAACCAGCCTGATTCCATTTGGAAATCATGCTCTGAAACCAAACAACACAGGCTGCGCAGTGTTTAAATCGATAGAAAATGTATATTTAATGGCCTCTACATTATAAAACTTTATGTGAAACACCAGGACAGATAAACGTCTTTAAAAAAACCATTATTCTCCCAAACGTCTATATTTAAATTTACAAGTATTGAAAACTAGTCTATAAAATCACTTTTACAGTCACCCTTTTACGAGGTGGGCACCGAACACCTCCAAAATCCAGCATGGCGTGGAAGCAAGTCGGCACAGGAGGACGTTTCTGATAATAGCAGAGCCTGTTAAAGCATGACGGTTGCTTCTGCAACAACGTACCTGCAGGCCGGCTGCTGTTCTTCCGTTTCAGCCATCTGTCCACTGTCTCCGCACTCACGCTCTCCAGCACAAACTCATCCAGCATCTGGGGGTGCAGGGAAAGGTAGGCCTTCACTTTCTCATCCGTCAGACCTGAGAGAGAGAGAGAGACCGTTATGAGTGCTGCTCTCACTCATACAAATGAAATCACAGCAGTGAATTAAAAAATATATACAGTATATTATTTCTGAGAAATAATGACTCAAGAAAAAGCAAGAAAAAAAAACACTAAAATGCAAAAGGTGGAATGTGTGAGCAACAACGTATCCGTCCTAATAAGTTCTTGGCTTGCATGTACACTTCAAGGTAAAAACTTTAAAGCGTGCGTATCATCGAAAACCAAATTTTCGTCTCTTTTTTCCCCTAAATAAAAGAGTCCGATGGAGCACGTAAACATTCACAAGTTCAAAAACGTATCATACATACACTCCACAGTCCATATAGTCCATGTATGGAAACTAAACGGCAAAAACAGCCCATTTTAAATTCATTGTTTGTCACCAGAACCAATTTATTTATATATCACTGCTGTCTGATCAAAACCTCGCATCCCCAAAATGGAAACTTTACAGGAGAATGAAAAAACTTACTTTACTTTTAATGTAAGTCAATGGAACTTTTTTCCAAGTCATTTTGGGGCCGTTTCTTTTGGTCCATTCATCATGAAATTCACACACAATGTAAAGGACAAATAATGTCAAAAACTGAAAAAACGACAAAAATGGAGATACAAGGTTTTGTCCCGACAGCAGCGATATACACATCTATTCAGCCCACAGCAGTTTAGCCACGCCCACTCAAACTGAAGTTATGAGGAGTGTTTCAGCTTTGAGTGCTTTTTAATTGCAGGACAGCCAATCAGATCAGACTTCATGTATCTTAAAGCGGTCTTAAAAGCACGGTAATGAAAACAGCTTGTTTAATTCTAAGGGATGTAGAAAGGTTGGAAAATGGTCATGTGAAAATGAATTACGACCATTTTTAGGTACACAGAACCACACAAATATTATAAGTGGACCTCTGGGAAAAATAAAATGCAAGACAAATGTAAGATATTCCCCTTAATTTGGTACAGAACATTTATGTGGAAGTTTGTCAAACTTTAAAAAAGTTCTTCAAAAATTTTTTCAAAGAACCATCCACTGAAATCATTCTTTAAGGAACAAAAAGTTCTTCAAAGTCATCTCTTAGAAAATCTGTTTTTGGTGCCTTTACTTTTAAGATCGTAAATATAAATGACTAAAATGTAACAAAATAGATTCTTCACTAATACACTTACATGTTAAAGTGTTATCGCACTCAGAAAAGTTACAATTCTCTTTTGGTCCTTAGATTAAAGACTTGATGACTAGTGAAAAGTGAGAGTCTTGTACTTCATCTCAAACAAATGAATAAACTTTGATTTCTTTGAAATAAAAATGTGTGTATAACTTTTAGTCCGACTGTAGCAGATTTCACACTAGGCAAAGCAAGGCAAGCAGCTCTGAATATACACATGTGGATGCCATCCGTATCTGGACCGGAGGCAGGGTTTATACAATCAAGTGAGAAGTTAAAGGGGAATTCCACCACTTTTTCAAAACGTCTGCATAATTCAGTGGTTGAGATGTATATAAAATCCTCCAAAGTGGTTTAGTGTGAATTGGATCATTGTAGAGAAACTCGCCGACTCTTTACAGTGGTGGTGATAGGAACCAGGGGTCACAACACAAAATACAGCAATTTTATTATCCAAAACCACCAGTGAACCTACATGTGCATTCTGAATTTTTTAGGTAAAGTTATTAAAGGTAAAATAGTGGTAAATTTGCAAAAGTGAGTTTTCTACAGGGAATATTTTGCCTTAGCACACGCAGGCTTTACAAAATTAAGCCAAACTGTATCTCAAAAGTATTATAAAACAATGTCTCAGGCATCAGGTAGCATATTTGTAAGTACTTCATGGAAGTTCTCTGCAAAACTGTTCACCACTGTGAACAGATCTGGCTCTAATTTCTCTAGAACAGAGCATTTCACTCCAAATCACTCTGAATTTTGTTTTGTTCACGTCTTTAATTTTCCAAAATGAGTGTAATTCCTCTTTAATAGAAGGGAAAACAGCAAAGTGCAAATGTACCATTGCAAGAAATGTCACTATAATATGGTGGAATCCATTAGTGGAAAGAGAGAAGTCAAGACGATGTATACATAACTTAAACTGGCTAAAATAACAAGCTAACCAAGCCTGCAAGTTCCCTGCAGTTCAACATCAGCCTGTTGCTCGGTGGTTCCCAAACCTCGTCCTGGAATACCCCCTGCCCTCTTCACTCAAACACAACTGACACAACTAATCAGCTAATAAACAAGCCCTTCCTGAGTTGAAGTGGGGGAGCTGGAGCACGGAAAACACTGAAATGTGCAGAGCAGGTGTATCAATCAAGCATCTTGAACTTCAGGACAACAACGAGCTGCACTGTTCAACATCTCATTCATCTGTGCCCACCTATCTTACCATTGGCTGAGAGACGTCTACATGGGTTTTGCAGCAAAAGTTGGTCTTTTTTTGCATTAATGTTTTCCAGTCTGTCAGCAGGATCCTCACTGAAACACACTGAAGTAGCTGCATTTTTGTCTGTTGGCACTGTAAGCAGTTCAGCTCTACTAGAGCGTACTAGCTAATGTACCAGTATACAGAATGATAGTCTGTCAACTGTGACTCAGCCCTCACTTACCGATTTACTCTATTTACAGCTACTCTACCTTATAATGACAGCAACTCCAGACTGTTTGATCGAATTAAACTCCACTACTATTGTATTTTCCTCCTGTTCTGTGATGAATTTCTGAGTGAAGCGCAGAATCAGGGAGGGCACCTTAGACAGCTGAGCATGTTCTCTCAGTGACAGGTGGGGGTGGTGGGAGGGGAGGCAACACTTGAGATTACTGGTTAATATTCTGCCTGTCCGCTGGTGCACAGTGACGTAATCAAAAACCAAATTAGTGTCTTTTAAATAATCTAACATGATGAATCGTGTTTAATATGACCAGGAACACAAACTAACGAGATGAAAAAGGGCACTTTTAATTCTGGGTTGACTTGAACAGGAACAAGTACTGAGAATTCTTGACTCAGTGAAAAGTTGAAGTATTAAGCTTCATAACATTCATTCACACTGGCCTAATTTTACTCGGAGACGAAGAACCTGAGCTGATATAGATGAAAAAAGGCCATTTTATTTCCTGATTTACAACTTTTAAATGAGGCCCATAACGAACTAATATGGGGAATAAAGATGACCAGAAAAATGCTCTCAGAAACTGTCAGGATGGCTGTATTTCGTCACATCCACTGTACTGAAAGTAACACAGAGCAATTATAAGGAAAAAAAAAAAACTACAGAATTACACTCAAAAGCTTAGTAACTTAAAAGTTTTCAGTTAAAAGTTTTAGTCAACCTTTAAGCTGGCCTTTTTTATAGATCGTTATCTGTATATTAAACACTGGCTGTGTTTACATGCAAAGATTTCTGCCAATCTGACTGAATTCTTTCCAATTATAGATTCAGACTGAGGTGTTTATATACACTCCACTCAACAGTCTGATTAAAACCTCCTTTAAATGCACACTACAAGTAATCAGATCCAAACTAATGTGCCTGCGTCAAGTACCACTTAGTGGAGATGTTACCATGGCAACGAGCATCACGTGAGTCCAGTCAGAGTGAGATGAGCAGCAGTATGTTTTCTGTTGGTGTTTTTAATTGGCTCTATAGTTTGTGTAAACCCACAGTCGTTCATTTGCTCATATACTCGTCTGAACAGCTTGTTATTGAGAGCATTTCAGCCCATCCTGCTAACTATTTTTAAGTCTTTTCAAGTTTGAAGTGTTAACTTCGTCTCCTCTGAAGACCAGTTTGTTCCGTTATGATGCATATGCGCACACGCAGAACGTACTTAAACTTTCCGATTGGGAATGTAATCAGATACAGGCGTTTACATGGCTATTATCTTCTATTTAACACATTATTTACAGGATTATCCACCTTGTTCAATCGATAGAAATTGTATTCAGAATAGCCTCAATCGGACTAGTCTATTCCAACTGAGGGGCAGACATGGACGACTGAGTTAACAGCTGGATTATTAATGGATTATCAGGCTGCATGTAAACGTGGCTACTGAAATATTAATGCACTGAACAAACTTTGTGCAGTTTTACACGAGTTGATCTCACGATAATGAGTGTGTTTACATGCACTTAACCACCTGCTAATCGCAGAAAATCAGATTTTGTCAGTAATCCATTCAAAGCGTTTACGTGCACTTGAGTAATCAGATAATGGAGAAACTCCAGGTCTACATGAGTCAGGCAGTAATCGGAAATCTGCTTTGCAGCCAGCAAATAAACGCATAGAAGAAGACGTGATATAAGCGTAATCCATCCATCCATCATCTAAACCGCTTATCCTTCTGGGTCGCGGTGGATATAAGCGTAACGTAAAACTTAAAAATCGTACCACAGCTTTTTTAAAAATATAGAGTCACTTTAAGCTACGATTTTTTGGGGTGACTGAAATATCGGGGATCCACACTAAATGATTAGGGATCACACACTACTCAACTTTTCAGCTGCTGCTGAACCAAACCGAACTCAATGAACTCACTGAACTCATGCCAACTCACGCGAACTCTCACGTTACTAGGAAACCCAAATAAACAAACGTGGAGCTGCTGCTGCTGTTTTCTCTGTGGTTTGCGCTGATGCAGTAAAGCAGCAGGTAAACATGTTTAAGGGCATTTCCGTCTTTCGCACTCTCTGTTTTTATTGGCTGTTGCAGGAACCTGTTCAGATTGAGTCGTTGATCAGTTTACACTAGATTACAGTCGGGTCTAAAAAAATCGAACGTTTGATAAACTCCGATTGGTCTGAAACGCGATCAGGAGGCTCTCCAACTGTCGACTCCGACTGACCCAAAAATCTGCAGACTAGAGCCAACCAGCACAGACTCGGCCAGACTAAGAATCAGGGCTAAAATCGGGGTAAAAGCCGTGTAGCGTAACCCCGGCTTTAGCTACAAACATGAACTTGAAGAAGATGAAGAATATTTAAATGA